GCTCCTCCGCCTGCCTGCGCTGCCTGCGCTGCCTGCGCTGCCTGCACTTTCGGTTTCTTCCGCGCTGCCAGTTAACTCCTCCTTCGCGGCGGGAAGCTCCCAGCTCAGGTTACACCAACACTGCCCCCACGCCGCCGAAAACAGCTTCACAGTCGGTTCAGCCCTTCCTGACCATCCGGGAGGGAAGAAACCCGGAGGGGACCGCCCCCAAAAAAAACCCCAAGGTGTTTCCTCAAGGAGCAGCATCCTCCAGTGCATGGCCCCAGTGCTCTGCCTCGCTCCCTGCCAAAGAGGTCTCACCTCCTGCCACCACCCTACCCCTCTGCACCTCGCGGCTGTGAGGGGGCTCTGGGACTGTCCCCCAGCTCCTTGAAGAGGATTCTCGCATCCCTCTTTGTCCTGGGGGGCTGTATCCTGGCTCTCCTTTGCCCCTTCCTGCAGGGTTTCGCTACCCCCCGGCCATCTGCACCATGGGGACCACCACTGAAGGGGGACCACCATGGAAGGGGGACCACCAGGAGCACTTGGAGTTCACCTAGCCTGGCATCCCCAAAGGGAGAGGGCACAGTGGGACACTACTGTCACCTCCCCTTGGGGCCTTTGATGCCTGTAGGATCTTCAAAGCTTGGCCCACACTGGTGCCACACAGCCCCAGGCTCTGAAGATGCCCAATTGCACCAGTGAAACATTTCAATTTGAAATATCTCTATTTTGGAAACATTCCAATTCTTGATCCCCCTCCTGGCAAGCAGCCCCTAACATGGACAGGCCAGGCCAGCATGACTGGTCAGGCTTGTCCCACTGGTGCAGCAAAATATCCTGGGGGCTGGTACAACTAGTTGGAGCTCCAAGACGTTTTAACCCCTGGGGTGCTGTTGAAGGGCTGAGCATCCCCGGAGAGGCCACACCACATCCTGACAATTCTTCGCCGTGGCAGAACTTCACGTGTTCATCAGGACCATATGGTGAGATGAAGTCACACCACACAGTCTCCTTGACTGGCAGCAGCTCCCACACCCTGGAGCATGTGGCTTCTTTGCGCAGCACCCTGGGGTCCCTTGGGGAAACAGAGGCACCAAGGGGTGCAGCCCCGTGGGCCTGCAGAAGTCATCAGCCCATCTCTGCCCAGGCGCAAGGGTGCAGAACAGGTTTATTGTCCATTAAGAGTTGATAGAAAGGAAGCTTACAAAATAAATAAATATCTATATATGCCTCTATACAGTCCACACACCCCCGCGGACAGACTCACAGCACACATGCAAAAGCACTTTGAAGCACAAATTAGCGCAATCACTTATTATGAACCGCTGTGTCGGGAAGGCTCAGGTCATTCCTGAGGTCGTCGACCTCCAGGCAGGTCGTTCCCCAAATCGCCACCTCTGCTCCTTCCCCATAAATGCCAGTATAACTGCTACTAGCAGTGCCACAATGGACCCCAACTCCAGCCCGCTGGTGGCATCCCAACTTGGTCCAGCCAGCCCTTGTGCCCTGCTTCGGCTGCCCACCCCACCCCATCACTACCATCCTTGGCCACAGTGTCCCCAAGCTCTTCTCTAGCCAATCTGCTCAGCTCATAGCCCTCCCAGTCTGAGATGCCTGGCTGTGCAACCCATTGTGGGGGCACCAGAACATCAGTCTGTCCCCTGGTGGTATATTGGCCAAGGGACCTGGAAGCAAACTGGCACATGCCGGTGTGCCAGCTGGTTCCCATCCCATAACATCGTAGGCAAAGGCTGGGCAGGAGAGGTAAAGCCAAGGGCAAGGACAGGCAGTGGAGCTCAGCTTCGGTTTTCCTGCTCAGGTCTTCACCCAACTCCCGTGGCCTCCACAGAGAGGACAGCAAGAGCTCCAGCGGGGCAAGGGCCCCACCACGCAGCACCCCTGTATGTCCCCCCCCGCCTTCACACACCTACAAAGACACATGCACACAGACACACACCCACATGCATGCTCTATCTACGTTGCTTCATCGCTTTGACGAGCTCCTCCAGCTTCAGGGCAAGGTGCAGGTCACCTGTCACCTGCAGCCTCCCGCTCATGTAGGCACTCAAGGGGCGCAGGTCACCCAAGAAGAGGTCCTGCAGGTCTTTCTCCGTCACCTCCAGGATGACATCGGGGCTGCCCTCGAGCACGCCGCGGCCAGCCCGCCCGCTGCCTGTAGGACATGATGGGTGGGAGAGGAAGAAACAGCGGGTTTCAAGATCGATCCAGCCTTGCCTGCTGGCATTTCCCCCCACCATTTCATAAGGATTGAGTTGGGCCAGTGATGATGGACAAGGGCTTGGCAGGGGCATTTTGGAGACAGGAGTCCTTACTCCTTATGGAGATAAATTTATCTTGTGTTGCTCCACGCCTGTCCTGTTACAGTGGTCCACCTCCAAACCCTGTCCTACTTTTGCCATTACCACCAGAAAAACAATCAGCAACCATGGGGGAATGCACTGGGTGCTGGGAGGACATCTTCCAGCATGGCAATGGCCCAAGGCACTGCCCACACATGTCCCTCCATCACCTCCTCCTTGGGCTGGTGGCATACAAGAGGCAATAAGCACTGAGGTCTCTGAACTATCCCTTTTGGCCAGCCCTGAGGAGACCTGGCTGCCAATTTTCTAGCAGTGCTCTCTTTCTGAAGGAAAATTAATGGTTTAACCCAAAACAAATTATACTCTGGACTTCCAGGGAGCATGGACTGAAGGTCACAGTCGCCAAACTGCAGTGCTCAGTGGATGGACCCTGGGGTGCCTTTCATGGAGGTACCAAAAGGGCTTGTTTTGGGACACCCTACCCCCAAGCCTGGGGGATTTGCAGCATGCAAAGGGGGCAGAGGCACAAAACACCCTCCCGCCTCCAACACAACAACCCCAAAGACCAGTGACCTGAGGAGAGGTCTATGAAGTAGGTGCTCCGGGTGCCGCTGGGCAGGGTGATGTTGACCTGGTAGGATGCTCCCACCTGGCCCACCAGGGCCTCGGAGAGGACAGGCTCCACAGCCGAGAGCAGCTCCTCTGCACTGGGCTTCCGCCGGGCACTGCCAGCAGCAGCAAGAAGAGAAGTGGTGGGAGGCTCCACCTCGTTTACCGTCTCCACGCTGTCTGCTGGGGACAATGGGACAGAAGTGAGTTGAAGGGGACACTTTCAGGTGAGCTTTGCTGGTCTGCATGGACCCACAGAAAAGGTCTCCAGGGCAAAGAAATGCACTTCTCCAGTTCCTACTGCCTGCTCCTCTGTCTGTCATGGGTTACTCTTCCCCTGTTACCAAGGGGTGGAAAATTATCCCTGAAAGAAATAGCAGGGCACAAATTGGTGCAGGGTTTCTGGAAAAAAAAATCCATGTCGCCCTCAGATGTGACTCTCTCGGCAAATTCAGGCTTGGGTTTGCCTGATGTAAATGCTGACATCTGAGTTGGTCTTGAGCCCAGGCTCCTGCGGATCTGCTCCCACCCTCCCCAGTCCTATCTGAAATGTCTTGTTAGAAAGGCTGTGTTGTGCCACTTGCTGTGTGGGGCTGTGCCTGAAGCCGTCCTCTCTCTTCTCCCTACACCAGCCTATTTGTGCTGTGCTCGCAGGAATGTGTTATCTCCTAGACTTTGACTCCTCTGTGAAACAGCCAACAGACAAAGGTCATCAGGCAAGAGGCAACATCCCCCAGCAAAGTGGTGGCCCTGGGTTGGTTACCTGCCTCCGGAGCGCTGGTTCCACTGCCCGCCAAAGCCAGGCTGTTGCTGAAGAAATGAGCAGCCAGCTGCTGAATGGTGCCATCCAGCCCCTCCAGCCCAGGCACGGGTGGCATGGTGGCCAGAGGGCCCACCAGGTTCTCCCGGGGTGGCTGCAGCACAGCTTCCATGCTCAGCTCCACTCGGTCCACCTCCAGGCCCCAGGACTTGGTCATGTCGTTAATCTCCAGCTGCAGAGCCAGGAAGAAAGGGAGAAACGTTGGCAGCCCAGGCAGAGCTGGGTATGGCCATGGAGACCACCCACCACAGCACCCCCAACCATGGGCATCCCATAGTTTATATTTCTGCTATCCACCAGCTTTAGATGTGGAGCGTTGGGCCACGCTCAGTAGTTCACCTCCTCTAAATTGTCCACTCTCATGGTCAACCCTGCTCCCCCAGTTGCTCTTCCAGCTTGGAAGAGGTCAGAACAGGGAGGAGAGCTCTGTCTTGTTCCCCTTTCCATGGCTCCCTCCCAGGCTGGCCCCTTTTCTTGCTCCCCCTAGATAACATGTGCTGGTATGGTGCTCTGCCAAGCAGCATCTCTGGCCTCCAAACCACCCCAGACACCCCAGAGATATCAGTATATTCCCCCAGCCTCCTTTTATATCATCCCTTGTAGACATTCAATCCACAAGATCTTGGCTTGGCTCAGGTCAGCTGCAGGCACTACTCATTGCCCCTCTGCCACTGCCCTGTCCTGCTTCTCTCCCCAAATGCCCTCTCCAGTTTGCAGCCCCCTCCAGAGATATTCCTGGTGGAGATATGGAAGTCAAATTTAAGCCTGCCATCAAAATGTGGGCTTTTCTGTGTGGTCAGACACCTTAGAGATAAGCCACAGAGCTCCGGAGATCTGCAGGCTGAAGGCATCCGCTCCCCACTAATCACCATGTTTTCCCAGCTCCCTTCCTTGGCCAGGTCCAAGGACTTTCAGCAGCTCCATCTTTTCCTTACTGTTACTTCCACACCAAGAACCCAAGGGTTTGGGGGGCTTGGGGTGCTCTGCGCAGGACTGGGGCAGTCCTCACCAGCAGCTGCTCCCCGATCCTCAGCTTCTCCACTTGGATCTCACGGAGGCTCTTCTTCACCAAGGTCTTGGTCATGACGTTCTGCGCCGTCATCCGGGTGGCCGCGATGAGATCCTTCACCATCATGACGGACAACACGGGGTCCCACACCCGGAATTGGACATCAGCACCCATGGAGATGATTGCCCCATCCTTGGAAGTCAGCTGGGGCAGAGGGGAGTCAGGATTTCTCCCCGTCTCTGCCCCATGGCCCCACCCGTGTGAGTAGAGCCTGGGAACAAAGGCATTCACTTTTTTCCCAGATAGCAACTGGTTCTAAATGTCTTTATTAAGGGGGTTATTAGAAACAAAACCAACCCAAATAATTAAGTTTGGGCTAGTCTGAATGGAGAGGACAGTTTCCAGCATGGGGCTGTTCTTGAAAGACATCAGGGAAGGACAGGGATTGATGTTTTTGAGATGTCTCCAACCAGGAACACTCACTGAGCAAGGTGCACAAAACCAAGAGGAGCTTTTCAACTGCAGGCAGGTGAGGATTCTGGCTTCACAGCACCAGTTACAACCCCCCTCACCTCACCATGATGATGGAGGAACTGAACGTTTGGTCCATGCAAGACACAAAGGGTCAGACCATCTCAAAATCCACCTGCTCTGGGTATTTTAGAGATGTCTGTCCATCCTGCCCTGAGGCTCAAGGCAGCTCACCTTGCAGGGGGGCACGTTGAAGGCCCTTGTCCTCAGATCCACTCGTTGCCAGTGATCGATGAAAGGCAGCAGCAGGACCACGCCGGGCCCCTGAGGTGCTCGGATGCGGCCCAGGCGGAAGATGATCATTCGCTCGTAGGTGGGCACGATCTGGAATGGGAAAGTTTAGACCAAGGCAGAAGCAAAACCCTGGGTCCTGCAGTGCAGTGCCAGGAGCAGTGAGAGCAGGGGCAGCCAGGAAGAGTCCTCACCACGGAGGATGGGTTGTCATACCATTCCTGACCTGTTTCCTCCCTTACCTTCAAGGCAAACCATCCTGAGATGGGGAAGGTGACAACCATCAGCAAGAAGACCAAGAAGGTGATAACGCCATGACAGATCCAGGACAGCCAACCCTGGGAGGAGTCTGCAGGGGGGTGAAAGAGGGGATGTACCTGCTCCAAACCCCCCTGCCCAGCTGCCTGTGAGCCCCCATCTAATCCTCTCCCCCCATGCACCCTGCACCCTGGCGAAGACAGGAGTGTGTGGGGCACCCAGCCAGCGCGACACCCTGCATCAAATGTGGCAATAGAGGAAGGCAGCAATTCCCCTCTAAGGTTGGGACTCACCTGTGGTGTTTCCGGCTGGCCCCAGAGGGTCTTGCTTGGATCCGAAGGAGAAGAAGCCCTTCTGGGCACCGTAGAGCCCAATGCTGGACTGCTGGAAGCGGTCAAAGTCCCCCAAGGGAAGGGCCTGGTATCCTGACCGGCTGAACATGGTGCTGGTGCCTTGCACAGGGCCCCACTCCCAGTGCTCAGAGCCCTCTAATCCCAGCTCCCTGCTGCCACCGCCGCCACCTCTGTGACCAGCATGGCTTCTGCCTGTCCCTGACCCGATCCAGCGTCCCTGCCCGCCTGCCTGCAAACCTCCCTGCCCTCACGTGCAACCGGAGAGATGCCAGCGCAGAGCTGACAAGCCCTGCCGTTATCACAGAGGATGCTTGTGAGAAGAAATCAAATCCTTCAGGGGGTTTCCTGGCTGGGGTCTCACCCAGGCTGGGGGGCTGGGGACTTCACATCCTCCCAGCGACCCTCTGGGCAGCAGCTGAGCCGCGAGCCAAAAGCAGTGGCCCCGCAGCCACCCTCCGCTTCGCAGCCCGGTGGAGCTGGGAGATCTGCGCGGGGTGTCCACGGCCGCCACCCCCGTGGCCGTGGGGACCGCAGGCCGCGGTGAGGATGCTGCGGCGGGGATGGAGGGAAGGAGGGAGCCGCTGGCGCTTCCTGGTCCGCCCGTCATGTGGCTGCTGACGGCACAGGGACGAAACGGCTCCCAGCTCCCGGCTGCGGGAGTTTTTCCGGAGAGGGCCTGCTTGGCGGCTGCCGTGGAGAGGACTACGTCCTCCATCGCACACACACCTTGGGGGGCTCCGCATGGTCCCCCAGCCCCATGGGGAAGCGGGAGATGTATTTTTCCCAGTGATTCCTGCTCCAGCGTGGCTTTCTCACCATGTTAAAGCGCCTGCCTGCAAAGGGTAGCAGAGACCAAAGAGCAGCCTGGAGCAGCGCTGCCGGGGAAGGGGGTGGCAGTAGGGCAGGTCTAAAGCCCCCCTCGGCTGAAGCGGGGGCCTGACACCCTGCCCCAGGCGCAGCAGCAGCCCTTGCAGCTGAGCCGGCACCCAGACATGCACCCCAGCACAGCTCGGGGGTCCTGTCTAGCAGCTGAAGCAGTTTTTCCGTCCGACCCCTCTCCGGTGCCAGCAGCCCCCCGGTACCAGCATCCCCCCGGTGCCGGTATCCTTAGGCAGGGCGGAGGGCGCTCCCTTCCCACCCCCGACACCGCGCACCTCTCCCGCCCGGGGAGCTCCCGCCTTGCCTTCCCCGCCTTCTTCCCGTCAGCTGCTCCTCCTCCTCCCCCTCCAGGCAGGCGAGGAAAACGAAAGTCCCCGGTGAACGTCGC